TTTTGACTACTATAGAGATCATTAGAGACCTTCTGGACACTTTTTGAAGACTATAGATATCAGTAGCCACTTTCTGGACAGTTTTTAACGACTATAGAAATAATTAGAAAGCTTTTAGACAATTTTTGACAACTATAGAAATCATTAAATACCTTCTGGACACTTTTTGATAACTCTAGGTATCATTAGACACTTTCTGGACACTTTTTAACGACTATAGGAATAATTAGAAAGCTTTTGGACAATTTTTGACTACTATAGAAATCATTAAATACCTTCTGGACACTTTTTGATAACTCTAGGTATCATTAGACACCTTCTGGACACTTTTTAACGACTATAGGAATAATTAGAAAGCTTTTGGACAATTTTTGACTACTATAGAAATCATTAAATACCTTCTGGACACTTTTTGATAACTCTAGGTATCATTAGACACCTTCTGGATAGTTTTTAACAACTATAGAAATAATTAGAAAGCTTCCGAACAATTTCTGACTACTATAGAAATCATTAGAAATCTTCTGGCTACTTTCTGAAGACTATAGATATCAATAGGCACCTTCTGGATAGTTTTTAACGACTATAAAAGTAATTAGAAAGCTTCTGGATAATTTTTGACTACTATAGAAATCATTAAATACCTTCTGGACAATTTTTGATAACTCTAGGTATCATTAGACACCTTGTGGACAATTTTTAACAACTATAGAAATAATTAGAAAGCTTCCGAACAATTTCTGACTACTATAGAAATCATTAGAAATCTTCTGGCTACTTTCTGAAGACTATAGATATCAATAGGCACCTTCTGGATAGTTTTTAACGACTATAAAAGTAATTAGAAAGCTTCTGGATAATTTTTGACTACTATAGAAATCATTAAATACCTTCTGGACAATTTTTGATAACTCTAGGTATCATTAGACACATTGTGGACAGTTTTTAACAACTATAGGAACAGTTAGAAAACTTCTGGATAATTTTTGACTACTGTAGAGATCGTTAGAGACCTTCTGGACACTGTTTGAAAACTATAGATATCAGTAGACACCTTTTGAACGGTTTTTAACGATTATAAACGTCAAAAAAATGTCACTTCAAAAAGTGAGGTTAGATTCTGTTGGAAAAGTGTGATTAAAAATCCTCAACATCATCATTTTCGAAGACATCGGCCGCCCCCGGCCATCGCGGACGCTAAATCTATCTATCTGTTCATCCCAACCTCACTTTACCAATTAAATCTAACCTCACTTCTCCAAGTGACATTTTTTAACGTTTCATTAAAAAAAAATTATTTTACTCACTCATTGCGTTCTCGAAGATTTTCTTTCATATTAGCGATTCATAAGAAGCGATCTCACTTAAAATAGCCACAAAAAGTAAACTCACAAGATACGAAATATCCATTCAACCCAANAAAAGAGGCGCAAGTATCAGTTAAATGGTCGTATTTGACGTAAATCCCACGAACAGTAACATTTTTTCCATCAATAACACCAGGGAATAAAACGGTCGTATTCATTTCGGGAAAATTCACGAATAATTTAGGCCTAAAAATGAAATTTTTTTTAATTCGTATTAAATTAATTTGATTTCGTACTTTTGCGGCGCTCTCGGATTAAACATAGGTGTTGCCATTTCCACGAACAACCAAAGGCATAAAATGAAATTATCGTCAACAATCTTATAATCAGCCGTGGGTATATCAATGCGATTCATTCTTCCTTCAACATCTCTGATTAACCGATAAGTGGCGACGTCGAAATTTTCGCGTTGAGCATTCCTACACAACTCCCTCACCCAGTACCAATCTTGCACGATCGATTCTTTAACGTTAAAAGGATCATCGATACAATCGTTTAAATCGCTTAAAATATCGAGTACTTCCCGGGTACGTCGCACGCACTCTTCTGGAGTCACCTGTAATGGGGAAATTAAGAATTAAAAAAAATTTATGCTTAAAATATCGTAATATATACGTTCTGTGTAAAACGTAATTAGTTTATATAGTAATTATAGAGATTATTGTGTAAGTATTGTGTAAATCAAATAAATATTTGTTCATTTCAATTTAATTCTTATTTTTGTTAGATTATTTATTTTTTTAAATAAATTTTTGATTGAAATTTTTCCAAGACAACCTAACCCCACTTTTTCAAATGACATTTATTTGACGTTTCATTAAATGAAATTAATTTAACTCATTTTACGTTAGAAATAAAACTAAAACTAGAAACCCTAAAATTTCTAGTTTTAGTTTTATTTCTTATTACATAGACAGAAAAAGTGAGGTTAAGTTGTGTTAAAAGTATTCAACTTGCCGTTACCATGGTGATTTGACAATAAGTCTTTAAAAAAAAATCAGTGAAAAGTGAGGTTAATGTTTGTTTTTATTGTCTAAATTGATGTTTTAAATTGTTTGTAGATCGGAATTGTTTGTAAATGAAGAAAAAATTGCTGCGATCAGTAAAGGTAAGTTCTAAAATTATTTTTAATAAATTTACATACGAAGATAGCGTAATTCCCAATCTTAGAACTGCCAAATGTCAAAATTAAACAACGATTTTTTGATAAATACTAAAATGATCTTAATAAGAATCAAAAATGCTTTAATTTGATACCAAACATGATCTATTTGAGTTAAAAAATAAAAAACTTAAGTTAGAAACGTCAAATATCAAAATTGAATATGACGATTTTTTGATAAATATTGAAATGATTTTAATAAGAATCAAAAATGCTTTCATTTGATGCCAAACACGATATGTTTAGGTTAAAAAATAAAAAAGTTAGGTTAGAAATTGTCAAATGTCAAAATTAAATGTAACGATTTTTTGATAAATATTATAATGATCTTAATAGAAATCAAAAATGGTTTAATTTGATACCAAACACGAAGTATTTGGGTTAAAAAATAGAAAAGTTAGGTTAGAAACGTCAAATGTCAAAATTAAATATGACGATTTTTTGATAAATATTGAAATGACTTTAAAAAGAATCAAAAATGTTTTAATTTGATACTAAACATATTATACTTGGGTTAAAAAATAAAAAAGTTAGGTTAAGAACTGTCAAATGTCAAAATTAAATGTAACGATTTTTTGATAAATATTAAAATGATCTTAATAAGAATCAAAAATGCTTTAATTTGATACCAAACACGATGTATTTGGGTTAAAAGATAGAAAAGTTAGGTTAGAAACATCAAATGTCAAAATTAAATATGACGATTTTTTGGAATATACTGAAATGACTTTAAAAAGAATTAAAAATGTTTTAATTTGATATTAAACATAATATATTTGGGTTAAAAAATAAAAAAGTTAGGTTAAAAACTGTCAAATGTCAAAATTAAATGTAACGATTTTTTGATAAATATTAAAATGATCTTAATAAGAAACAAAAATGCTTTAATTTGATACCAAACACGATGTATTTGGGTTAAAAAATAGAAAAGTTAGGTTAGAAACGTCAAATGTCAAAATTAAATATGAAGATTTTTTTGATAAATATTGAAATGACTTTAAAAAGAACCAAAAATGCTTTAATTTGATACTAAACATATTATATTTGGGTTAAAAATAAAAAAGTTTGATTAGAAACTGTCAAATGTCAAATAACCGCCATTTTTTTTGCTAAAAATTAAGATATCTCGATAACGGTTGGAGATAAATAGGCCGAGTTTGGGATCATTTTAAAACATTTTCAATTTTCTCCCCATTTGTATTAAAAAAGGACACCTTTATGACCAAAAATTTTTTTTCGTTATAAAATTGTTATATTTAATTTTGTCATTTGACAGTTTATAACCTAACCTGTTTATTTTTTAACCCAAATATATCATGTTTGGTATCAAATGAAAGCAATTTTGACGGGTCTTACGATGATTGTTAGTAGAAATAAAATTAAAACTAGAAAAAAGTAAAAAAGTTGGTTAATA